CACCAACATGTTGGCATAAACGTTTAAAAGATCTCGTTGTTGTCCTTCTGCAGTTCTTTCGAAAAAAGTGTTTTTTTCAAAAGTTGCGGCTGGATCACTTCCCGAAGCAAATCATAAGGCGATTATTTTTTTATCGGTAATAACAAAAAGTATCATAATAATGGATGCGAACTTTATACAAAATACAGCTGGTATTAATAATCTTGACCAAACGTGATTGATCTTAAATGTACATATACTTGCAAAGGAATCTCCATCACTTGACCCGGATATCAAATGTTCTTTCAAAAACCTGGTGCATTGCCATTAGTGTTCGGAATGAAGATCGAAACTCTGGAGCGAGCTTCGATTGTGTTCCAGTCGAAGCTCGCTCAGATGCGTTTTTTTGCAGCTCGAGCTCGCTCGAAGTTTCTTAAGCTCGGCTCGGTTGCGAATACGATAGCTCGAACTCGCTCGCCCTTTTTCTTACACAAAGTGCACGTCAAAGTGATGTTAATTACAGAAAATTATGACAATAAAATTGTTATTTATTGAAATAGAAGTTGGAAAAAGAAAAAGTTTTTTTTTTTTCACCAGCCTTAACACCAAATTCGGATAATTAAATCAAACTATTACTGCATCTATAATTATAATACATTTGGATTTGTGAACATGAAAGTTTAAATTAATTCTGCTACGTCATGTTACTATGGTTGCTGTAAAAAATTGGCTTAGTTGGGTACAGTGTGCAACACTGTTTCATTTTCTATGGTAAATGTGTTTGCTGGTTGTACAATTAAATAAAAGTCCAAAGCATTTTAATTGGAATTATTAGAGCATAAATAAAAAAAAAATGGTAAAGGGAAGAAAAGATTAAAATCAAGGGGAAATGCCATCTGTAGTCTTTCAAGGACCTTAACTTTAAAGTGACTACTATCGACATTTTAGCCGAGCGAGCTTCGAGCGAGCATCGATCGAAGCTCGCTCGAACCCAAAAAAAGTGGCGCAAGCTCGAGTACAAAAACTCGGTTCGAGCTTCGTTCGAACTGGCGCAAGATCGGTGCAAGCTCGAAAAGTTCGAACACTAATTGCCATGAATTTGTTGTTGAATCTTGCTTTGTTCGGATCAAGATGGGATTCAAGCTGAAAGTACGGCATAACGACATTGTAGCTCAATGCGTAGACCGAACGTCACAGAATGTATGCATCCTCGAAAAAGTGATTCTCCGGATTCAACAACATCTCCTCGGGTATATCGCTTTGACTGAAAAGGTGTCAGTCATGACACCTTCCACTTTCACCAGCATACACTATTTTCATAAATTATTTGCACACTCTAGGAAAAGAATTGTTTACTTTTTTTTCAATTTCCGCACACTTTTTTATTTCTTTTTTGCTCACTTTTTGAAAAACAAATTGCTCACTTTAACTTTTACATTTCGCACAAATTTCGAACATAAATATAACCAATGGACCTTCGTATTTTTCAGGAAGATGAACATGGAAATGAACCGGTTGAAATGGAAGTAGACGTGGACGGTTACCCACTCGCTGACACTGGTGACTTCGATAGCTATATGGAATATAAACCACCTGAAAAGCCCGAGGCCTCAATTAAAAGCAATAAGATGGTTTCTACTGCTACATCAGGACCAGTTTCTTATTACAAGAAACATGGAGACGATGTCAAGGGTCATTTTTTCTACCTTGGTTATGAAGAAGGCCTAACTGCAGGTAAAGCAGGAAAGCAGTTAGGTATTGCCCGTAGAACCGCCTACGACTGGTTGAAAAAAGACCAAGATTTGATTGTTGAAACGCGGGATGGATTGGAGACCAAAAAAACCGAAAAGAAAGTTGGTAGACCTGCTTTATTGAATGAAGAGCATAAAAAGCATTTAGAAGAAACGTTTATCGATCACCCTTCTGCAACTTTGGATCAGGCAATAGAAAGTCTTAACAGCCAGTTCAGTGAATTGAAAGTAACCAAGACAACTGTTTACAAATTCATGACAGAGAAGTGTGCCTTGTCATTTAAAAAAGCACACTTTCATTCAAAAGAAAGAAACTCGCCAGTAAGCATTGAGAAAAGATTTGACTGGGTTACAAGATGGATTCAAACCGACATGGATTACAATAGTAATTGTGTTTTCATCGACGAGTCCGCCTTTCACATCAATTTGAAGCGAACAATGGCTTGGTCCAAAAAAGGCACTCGAGCTGAGGTTATCCAACCACTGACACGAGCAAAGACTACGAAAATTTTGGGTGCTATATCCCCGTATGGCATTGTCAATGTCAAGATAAGGGTACCCTATTCAGCAGCTTCTAAGAAACGATAGACGGTTGGTGGTAGTAAAATGCAGAAAAGTATTGGTACTGTTACGGGACATTACTTCAAATTTATTGCCAGCACTATCCATGTGATGGATCGTCATGAGGAATTCAAAGGACACTACATTATTATGGATAATGCGCCCATACATACACCCGATAATATTAGAAAGTTTATCGAAAGTCGTGGGTATGGGTGTGTGTATCTACCACCTTATTCCCCTGAGCTAAACCCTATTGAGCAGTTTTGGTCTGTTGTTAAGAGTAAATTGAAACGTGAAAAACTGTTGGAGGCCGAAACTTTGAGCACCAGAATCATGAAGCATGCCAAAATGTCTTGATAAGCGACTTGAAAGGCTTTTGCCGGTATTCTGAGTCCAAGTTCGAAACTTGTTTAAATAAAAATCCCCTTTAAAATAATTCGCACACACTGTGCAAAAAATATTCCTGGAAGTGAGCAATTTTTTTTTCAACAAATGAGCAAAAAAAAATTTGTGAAGTGAGCAAAAAATAAATAAAAAAGTGTGCGGAAATTGAAAAAAAAGTGAGCAATTTTTTTTCTAGAGTGTGCAAATAATTTATGAAAATAGTGTACACATAACTAAACTTGTAGTCCGCGGTGACAACAGCTGTCGAATTTACGGAGAGATTCGACTTATAGTCGCGATAGCTCTCGCGCGTTTCCTTTGGTCTGTGAATGACAATTAACTTCCCATCCACAACTCCAAAGACATTTAGCGATCGTTTGATTTACAAATTGTATGGGTCAGGGAACTCGAAGCCGTGCTTTATCCTCTTGAATTCTTCTTTTGGTTGATGGCCATAAAATTAGGTGGCCCAATTGATCATTTACTGCCTGGAGGAACATTTCCGTAAAATTAAAGACAGAGACTTGGCCTAATCCCAAAGTTGCGTCCACAATTATGTAGAGGAGATGGCAATTATTAAAGTGTCAGAGAGCAACTTCCATTTGCATATACCTGGGTGTAGTGCTATGCGCTTTCAAATTGAAACCGGTGATTCAAAATTTCAATCCGATGATTGAATCTTTCATTTTTCATTCAATAATGCGCCTTGTACCTTTGAGTTCTGTCATCATCCATCATATTATCATGAATATAGGACCCGTATCCTTTGTTTTTAATGTGTATGCAGTGAATTGGAACACGTCTTCTCCGAACTGCGTCAACATTACTCTAGGAAGGACGTTTAATGCTGTCAATAAAATTTGGTTGTATTTTTCCAAAAAGATCTTCACAGATTCACATGCCATGACATGTTCAACTTCAAGTTTCTGAAGAAGAACTGGCATATACTTTGTGATATAAAGCATTTTCTCTCTATGAGACTTGGTTATCTAAGGATTCATTTTTGTGTCAATTTTTGTAAAAAAGGTACGATTTTGTCTAGTGGTTTTCGTAGTTTTAAAAAAAAATTATTATCTCACGAAATAAATAAGATTATAATTGAAATGGCGTACTTCAGTTTAGATCATATAAGAATATTTTGATCTTTTTTTTTTTGGTGCTTGAGAACAATCTTACTCATTAAATGTTAATGTTATGTTCCGTAATATTGGGAAGAGGGATTACCCCTCGTCCCTTTTGGGGGAAAACCCCCGCCACCCCCTCAAAAAATTGGTACGTTCGTGACTGTTTTTTACAATTCCCCATTCCTATTATTTTTAAACATTAAGAGGTTTCAGTTTTAACCCGCTGTGCTGTTTGACTTTTTTCTATTGATTCGTTTACTTAATTAAGAACCAATAAAATGCTTACAAAGTATTAAGAAACTGAATCCCCAAAGTGATCTTTTCATGCTCAAGTTTTTCAACGACTTTTTTTAAAAAAATCCGAGCGAATAGATTTGTTCCTGAGTCTACATTAATTGTAAATAATACTAACAATAAAAGAGTTCAGATTTCCCGTCCTTGTTGTAGTAATAAAGCCCGAAGGAGAAACGAGTTATTATGAGCAATAATTTAGAAAATATTTGATCCGATGAAAAAAACCAAACATAATTGTTCAAGCTCAATCTCTAAATAAAAGTCTAAACAAAAGTCGAAAAGTCGAGTAGCAGGCGTTTTTTTTTTTAATAAACATTTTCTTTGTTTTGATTACATGATTTCGGAGTCTCAAAATATTAAAAAAATAGTGGAACAGCCGGCGGGTTAAAACTAAAACATCTTATTGGTGATTACTTTTGATTGTTTCCTTTTTGGTTTTTTAGACGAAGTCTAAAATACGTAGTTGTAAGCCTTACAGCCCTGACAAGCAACAAAAGTATTTTTTTTAAAGATCCCGATTAAGGACTTTTTTTTTTTTTTTTTTTTTTTGTTAAAGATTACTTTAAACTTCCGGAAAAAGCTTGTTCCAAAATTTATGACATTGATTTTTAATGACCCTTTTGACCCTTTTGACCCTTTTGAACGGATTAAAATATAAAGTTCACTCAAAATGCTAAACTATCTGTTACTATTTTTCTCGGACTATATTGTTTCGATACGCTTTTCATTCTTAGAGAAACAAAAATGAACCTATCCCAACTGTTACTGTAGTTGCTTAATTTCAATAACTTTTATCTGGACTCGATGATGACATCAAATGATTATGAAATCGAACATATCTGCACTTTACCGACAACAATGTCTCCACTGTATTTTTATTGCATTCTCCATATTTCCTGTTCCATCAGATCTTAAGACTCCCAGTAAGGAGGAAAAGTATTTCCAGTAGCATTGGCAGCTTTTCTTTGGTTCTGAACGTATCACAGAGGCGAATCCACTTGTTATTCATCGCTGCAAAGTCCCTTCTACCGTTGATAGCGTCACTGGCATTAAAAACGTCTTCCGTTGCCTTGTTCAAATTCAGCTTTGCTTGAGGTGAGCGAATAACACCCACGTCTACAACGTAATCGGAAAACAACTCGATCAAAATTTTGGTGCTTGCTGAATCCCATATGACGATGGTAGTGTACTTTTGGAAAGGCATTTTGTTAAATAAAATTGGATAGTTAAGAATTGGTAAAGAAAAATGAAGAGGATCACAAACAAAACTCTTTTCTCAAAAAAAAAAAAACAAAAACATTGGTGAGTTCAGTAGCCCAATTTGGCTGATTTTTCATCTGATAGAAGGATTCTGGGGTCGTTGGATTTTAATCCTTTATTGGGATATTTCGAAAATTTTGGCACTGGAGAAAATTCGATGTTATTGTTAATCGCCTATATATATCTATTTAATTTTTTATTCATCTATTTGGCAAAATTGTAACCTTTCACAAAAAAAAAATAAAAAAAAAAATAATAATAAAATCCTAAATCGGGATCTTTAAAAAAAACATTTTGTTGCTTGTTAGGGCCCTAAGAAGAACAGAAGGAGTTGACATATCACGCGTTCTCCCAAAATCAAACTCTCGCAAAAGAGACTGGTAAATGGCACAGATAAGCTTACTTTTACCAGCACCAGCGCCACCAGTCACAAAATTATAAACTGGAGAAGAGACATTGCTACCATCTCTCAGAGCAAACTCGGCTTTGTTATATCTAACATGACCAATGAGACTAGTCGGGTATGACCTCTGCTTGAAATTTAGGGTCGCCATCAGATTGAAGTAATCAATATCAGGTAATAGGTTTGGAAGAACTAATTTTTGAAGATATGTTTTACGAGAACTTGTACTATCGCCATTATTGTTGATATCCTCGTTAATATTGGCTCGGGTGTGATAATCACCTTCACTAGAATCATCCATCTCAGCAGTATATCTGGCAAAATCATTTTCTTCAGCGCCTGGCTCAGTACGATTGATTTCGGGATTGTTTTTACTGTCTTCATTTTCATCACCGTTTTCTCGGTCAGCTTTCTCGTCATTCTCTCCTGATGACTGTCTGTTATATTCGTCAAGTACAGCATCATCAATTCGATTGAACTCTGCCCTGACCTCTTCAACTTCAGTGAAAAATTGGCGATACACTCCTTCACAATCCGCATCCACAAGCTCTACGGTCTCATCACGCCATGGCTTATACATCATCAAGATTGCTCGAAAATAGTCTTCGCGGTCTGAATCAATATTAAATTTGTAATATCTGATGACTTTCGATTTAGTACGACGTTTGATTCATCTATTGTTATCTCCATTAAGCTGGTAAACTTCACCAGGTAAATCACCATGATCATTATCGCTAAGATTAGACGGAATGACATTGTCATGATTGACATCAATCTCACCATCGCCCTGACCATCCTCATCACTACCATTAAATGGTCTACCTGAGGATCTTTGTCTAGGCTTTTTTCTAGAATATTCAAAATATGCAGCAAATTGGGCCAGATTTAAGTTTTCGAAAACTACAGGACGGACAGTGTAATGCTCTACAATCGAAGGTTCAAAACAAATTGTCGAACCAGGGTTACGCATAAATTCTTCATTTAGAGCCTCTGTTTTTTTAACCATGTGTAACCGATTGCAGGGTTTTGCGGTTGGTATAAAAATACATCCCGTGCTGGCTTCTGACATACGTAACTGCAAAATGTTGTAGAAAGCTTCTGGAGTAGAAATCTCACAAGCATTATAATAAGTGGTTGCGATTGATTTAAGCATTTCCAGATTGTTGCTATTTCGGGTTTCGTTGTGTTTTTCAAACACTCCCTTTAACGCCTGGCTCATACCTTTGTTCGACTTATTTACATAGTCAACTACATAGGCACAACACGCATAAAGATCCAAAAGAAACTGAATGTCCATATTTGATCTGAACATACGAACAATTTTGGGATTGTAATTATTGATCATAATTGCATTTGGATTACGCTTGATGAATATTTCGTTCACTTTTAAGCTGATACGTACAGCCTTATGGTATTGGTAAACAGAAGCCATGTTGATTTTAAGAAGTAAGTCTTTGAAAGTAAAATTGTTGGTGGACAAGGTTTCAATGTTATCTTGAATGAAGTCCCTAATTTTTTTGTAATCATTTCGGTGTATTTCTATTTGAGCTTCAGATTCTGTGTCCCCATTTATGGGTACCACAATATTGGTGCGATATATTGGTAGAAATGGTATATTGATGCGGTAAATGACACGACCACTTCTTTTACGCTGACAAGAATGAGTGTGTTTATGTGTTTACCGTTTCAACAAGTGTTTCCAAGTATTTTCAGTGCAGGATCCCACATTACGTTCATGGGAGCTACCATCCCACTCCTTCTTGCAACTGATGACCGAATCTACATATTAGCAAATTTGATCTGCTTCAGGTGATTCAGTATTCATTTCGTCTACATAGCATAGAGCATCTTTGAGCCAAATCAGCATATGAACATGGGGAGAGCCTTACGGTATGATTTAGATAAAGCATGCCAAAATGTTTATGTATTTAATTAACCTACCTCTGTGTTGAAATTCGATTCTGAAGAAATACTCGCTAATTTCGTAGCCGGCAAATGATCCGTTAAGATCTTTCCAGTGTTTCTTCAACACACAAAATATATAGTCAAAATAAAGGAAACAGGTCACTGGGTAACTTTGGATTAGCCTAGCTTTTTCGGCATAGCCCATTTCTTTTGCTTGATCTTCCGTTATAATAACGTCATCTACAACCAATTTAAAATCACCAATAACTCGGGCCACTGAGTTTCAGCAGCCGAAAGAGTCACGAAAAGCGTCGGGATATCAAACTGACGGATCATGGCCATTACGTCTTTTTTCTGGGCTTTCCAATATTCTAGTGATGCATGTCTTACTTATAGTCCAAAAACCGTGACTTCCTTGGCGTTTTATAATGAGATACCCGGAGTCAACTAGCAAGTGGAGAGGTGCCGTGGTGTATAGTTCAATTTTTTTTAAATACATTTCTTTATATAACATGGCCTGTAAACATTACTCCAAAAGACTATAAGACAACCCATATACTATAGCATGAGCATCAGCGAGGAATTGAACGTTTATAGAGAAAGCAGTAATCTATGACTCAAATAATTAGTAACCCGTACACTTACGGGTGATATACATGTCTTACCCGAGATGAATATAAGGAAAAGCTGAATGTGTCACATACCAAAAACCATTGCGCGCTTGATACATAGAGAGAGATGGGACATGGGGTCGCTTGTCAATCTAAATAGACATGTTAAGTAATTGCAAGATACAACATGATGTGTATGCCCTACCCAGAATAAACGCTAATAGAAGCAGCAAACAGACAGAGCTTGGCACTTGATAGAGATGGGGGTACTAGACGTAGAACAATAGAGGTATCTACCCGAAAAAAAAATAAACAAACGGAACAACATAAAATAATGAGTATCATACCACTAAGAGACGTTGTGAGATATACAAATTCTTGATATGAGACTTGAAGAAATAGGAGACTATTTAAATAATTAGCAATGGTCTCATTGGCTGTCAATGGGTAATAGACGGTACCTTCTATACAACTAAATGAGGAAACCAAATACAACGTGTACATGTAGACCTAAAAAAACTACAGAGTTGTTATTATCAGCACTTAATAGAAAAAGAAACGCATATTTCTTTTCATACCCTTATAATAAGAAACAAGGCGTAAGTCCTTGACCGTGTACATGCATAACAAACAGTCTTCTAATTAGGGTCTAATTGACAGACAGCGTGCTTTTGGAGAGTAGCCCAGTTGGCAATGGAGCTTCTAGAATACCATAACAAGAGTTTTATTGCTACAAATGTGAAAAACTAAACAAAAAAGAAAGCATTAGTAAAAAAAAGAAAAAAAAACAAGGGCGAGGAGTTTTCTTACTTTTTATAACATGGAACTGTGTGGTGGAGTGGTTCTTTGTAATTAGAAGCTATAATTGAGCGATGTTATTTACAGGTGTAATAAGGAAAAGTTAAAGACTTACTAGTTACTCCAACCATTGCCAAAAAAAGTGTTAAGAAAAAAAGGAAAAAGAAAAAAAAAAAAAAGAAAAAAAAAAAAGAAAAAAAAAAAAAGAAAAAAAAAAAAAAAGAAAAAAAAAATGGGGCTCCCCTTCGGGTCGCTGATCCCATTTTTTTAAAGGCTTATTAGACTCGTCCTCCGACCACATATTTTTTGACCTTCGCTACGCTACGGTAAAAATACGTGGTTCCCGGAGGACCCATCAGTGGTATAAATTCATAATTTGATATTTTATTTTCCTTATTTATGTTAATAACCATAATGGCTCATGATGACTAGTAAAAGATATATATCTTCCAGAATCAATTATTTCTTGGTTTGTAAATATATTGTCTATAAATGTGTGTTGTTTTGTTGTTGATCTTACAGATTCTGGAAGAGAGCTTTTGATGCCGAGTTGGTTCAAGAAAGATGTAACTGTTGTTGATTTAGGCGAATCTTGGTAGAAGTTCAGATTGAAGTCGCCGGCAATGACAATGTAAATATAATCATGCTCAGTAATAAATGACAATGCTTCTAAAAACATGTCTGGACTTTGGTTAGAATCTGGCGAGGCATATATGCTACAGTATAAAGTGAGATTTACTATAACAATTGACACGCTGATGGTGGAGGTGTTGTAATTGTTGGTAAAGAGACGAGAGGAAGAGCTGAAATCACCTACTGAAAAATCCGAGACATAACAGCAACTACCGATGGGTTTACGTGTATTACCTGAACAGTTTAAAGATGACTTAAGTTGAAAACCAGGAATTTGAAAGTTATTAGTTGATAAAGTCCATGTTTCGTTTAACAGTATAATATCAGAGGACAAATATACCGGATCGTTGATGATTTGATTCAAGGGAGCATTTAGACTCTGGACATTGTGTGATATAACTTGAAAATGGGATTTTGTGGTTAAGACAGTGAATGTGGGAGAAAGAGTGATGGAAGGCTGTCGTTGGATTTCTTTGTAAAGATCGCTATTTTTTTTCTGATGAAAGTGCTTTGGGTGGGATAAACTTATTGTTTTTGCAAATAAGTGTAAGTCCTGCAGCGGTAGTTGCCCGTGGACATGCGACATAAATGAGTGACCTCTTCATTCTATGTTTTGCAGTATCATAAACTACAACATCTTTATAAGTTCCACCTTGAGACTTGTGGGTCGTCAAGGCTTCTGCCGGTACCAAAGGAAATTGCTTTCTGTTGACTTGTAGCTTGGTTGTATGGTCAGATGTGATTATGAGAGAAGAAGGTTCGATCATAGTCCATGTATCGTCCAAAATGCGATTAACTTGTCTTAATATCACCTGGCTTTTGCGCAGGATAGCGCCACTTTTCTCATCACTGAATTTCAGCCAAATGCGTAACGGTTTTTTTTCACTTGCCGGATAATTTTTCAAGGTTCCAAAATCAATTTTCACCAAATACCCAGTGCTGCCATTTACCAATCCATCGGA